TAAACTATCCTGAGAAGATACTACACTATCCCCAGATATTTTAATGGAAATTGGGCTGGAGGAATCCTATCTCATAATATAGTTTAGAGTTACTGTTTCCCACCAATCTGAAGGTCTTGATTATTTCTTCCCTTTTGAATTTTCCACTCCCAACATTTCTTGGGAAGAATGATCCAAAGAAAAGTGAGCTGGGAATTTTGCCAAGCACTTCTTGTTGCTTTCCCAGAATTGGGTCAAGACAAAATTTAGCCCTGGCCATTTAATGAACTTTATGGTTGACTATATTGCAAAGCCAGAGGGTTTGTTAAGAGTACAGAAGGTGTATGGGAAAAAGTTATTAAACCAACTACATAGTAAAACTTGATATGGCTGTTTGACACAATAACCAGTTGACCACCATATATGCCAGTTGCAGTGGGCATTCGTTTTGCTATAGGGCCAGAATAAACTTTTGATATTATGACTCTGTTCCCTGTCTCAAAGCCCAAGGTCTAAATTAGACATTAAAATCATGAATAAATCCTGTTTGAAGATCTTTACGGTGTACAAGGTCTCTTCAGCTTTGCATTTTATCCAGTAACCCTTGGGCCACCACTATTGGCTACATCTGTCTTCTGGGGATATTTCCGTCTTTTTATCTGTCATTCTGTCAAACGCTCCTCCCCCCCTCAGAAAATCTAGGACCGTAATATGAGTATCTGTGTAGCTGTCTTAACTACTCTTATATCTTTATGTCTATTCAGAGATATAGTCAGTTTCAGGAACAGGAAACGGTAACACCGATATAAAAAAACACACTGATACCCCGTCCTCTTCTGAGTTAGAAGCCTCACATCTCTTCCTATATTGAAAATCTACATCCTTTGCCTTTATTTACAGTTAATAGAATAGTAAAGTCTGTTAAGCTGGTTCTACCACTTGCTTTGTCAAGATGCAACACCTTTCCATACCTTTAGTGATAATATCTCTAGCAAGTGTGCCTTGTTTATTTATTTATTTAAAATATTTTTACCCTGCCTAAAAGGACTAAAAGTTATTTAAAAATTATAACTCTTCCAAAGCTGTATCATTAATTCTGTTTCGTCTTTGGGAACAGCAGGTCTCTGGGATGTAAGTTATGCTTTGATTGTCTTATTTTCTTTTTACCACAAGTATGAGAAGATATTTGTTGCAGTCTTGTAGTGAAATGAGCACATTTCCCTCCTCCTTTCCAAAAGTCTTCTAAATCTGTGTCCAGAGCCCAAAATGAATAAATGTCCATGTTTGTTCTCAGGTACAACTTTTTTACCAGCTGTGTGCCGTTAGTTCAAATTGGCTCCAAAATATTACAAGTTGAGATATATATTTAAAGCCAAGTTTTACCCTGGAGTGATTTTTTTTTATGAGCTTGTAAAACTCAGTCAATTCATAATGGAAATTCTGACAGGTCCCTTACTATCACATCGCACATGGTCATATAATGACTAGTGGAGAGCAACTCATATAAACATTCTTTTGCTTACTCCACTGTGGCCATCCTTTGACATTTAGTCAGAAACGAACTAATTTTCCCATACATTGTAGCTTAAAGGCCTCAATTCTGTAGATGTAGAGACAGCATCTCTGGAGCAATAGATTTGTGGGGTCTCCTCCTCTAAGAATAGAAAGTTCTGATCTTGGAGGCAGGGCTCAAGTCTTTAAAAACCCTTCCTAGCTCCTGTGGAAACTCCCAAGATCCTTGCCTGTTAAGTGTTGGAGCTCAAGTACCAATAAAGGGAGTAAGGAGGCAGATCAAGAGATATGTGTTGTGACAGGAGTCTTCTGTCCTTAAACACACACTACTGAAGGGGGAAAATGTACAATAGTCTTGAAACTAGTATATATTACATCTGTCCTATTGGTGACAGTGGGAGGGTGGGTGTAATCAAGGGGGGGCAAGTCCTTCCTTCAACAGAAGTGAAAACCGACATTTTTCTCGTTGCTTATGAGCTAGTGGGATATTTTTGCTCAGCTTCTTGACAGGGCTTTTGTGCAAATTGTGTCACTGAACTCATTATGATAATTGAGTGCCCTGTTTTATGGACTTTTAAACATCAGAAGAGTAGGATGTGTTTGGATCTTTTCTGTCAGTCAGGCAGTCCTTCTGTGCTTGCTTTGGGTGTAGGCTTTGCTTCATAAAGGGAAAAGATAACAGTTTCTTACAGACATTTTCCACAAACTGCAGACACTTAGAAAGAAAAAAAAAGTGCTAGTTGTCTAGTTCTCACACCGGAGGCAAGAAATCTCATGGGGTTTAGCAATCTTTCAATAGGTTGTATCAATGTGTAGATGTAGCCTGTCTCTCTGAGAATGACAAATTTATTGAGATTTCTTCACATCCTTATTGTCATTGCCATTGTCATCATCATCAACTTCCAACCCAGAAAATACCTTTCTTCTTCCTTTCCACCCTGCTGTTGTGAGCCCAGGAGGGCTTTGTGTGAGACAGTTCATCCATCTTCATACCTCCCCACCATGGCCTGTCAGATTGCTCTGTTAAGATGTCTGTCATTTCTAGTGTGCCGTAGAGACCTCCAGAGAAGCCACCTTATGTCATCCCAGTAAGGGAAACATGACATCTTAAGTTAGACTTTTTAGGGCTAGAAGTAATTAAAAACAAACATACACTGTGCTATTCTAATAATCAGATATTAGACCTTTTGCATGTTATATATATGTCCAAATGGAGGCCGATTAAAAAAAAGAATATCTGCTATTTAAAATTACCTCAGACCTACCAGTTTCATAGAAATGATTATTAGGTCTGTGCATGGCAAGGGAGGGTGTAGCCAGTACTGTATTAGAGACCACAAAAATGGAAGATATAGAGATCTGTCTTTGTAACCATTTTAATGGATCATTTTGGCAGCTATTTCTTGATAGTAGCCATCAAAGTACCCTCACGCAAAAGCGATTGCAAAAACTTCGTTGTTATGCGATTTCATCATAAAACGAAGCGCTCGTCTTGCGAGACACCATTGTATTTTAAAGGCCGTGTAAAGCTACAGTCAGAGCTTGGAAATATTATTCCAGACTGCATTTCTTGTGGTGCAATATTATGCGATTTCGTCATAAAACGAAGCGCTTGTCTTGTGAGACACCATTTTAAAGGCCATGTAAAGCTACAGTCAGAGCTTGGAAATGTTATTACTCCAGACTGCATTTCTTGTGGTGCAATGTTGGGATTCTGGGAATTGTAGTCCATTTCTGCATGTTACATTTCTATGGGCAGTACATTTTGTCATGTGTGGTATGCAGCCACCAATAACACTGAATCAAAATGTGTGTATATTTGCAAATATTTCCCTCTTGATTTCTGTCCAGGCTTTTGCACCCTTTTGTACAAAAAAACAAACAAAACAAACAAACCGAAACTGCTCTTGGAAGGGCAAATGTTTTAAGAAACAGGGAACACAGCTCCACCCTTCTATCATAAAATTGTCCCTTTAGGTTTTTGTATGTGGTAGGATAGATATAAAAAGTAAAGGTTCCCCTTGACATTTAGTCCAGTCGTGTCCGACTCTAGGGCTCGGAGCTCTTCCCCATTTCCAAGCCATAGAGCCAGCGTTTCTCTGAAGACAGTTTCCGTGGCCATGTGGCCAGCACGACTAGACACGGAAAGCCGTTACCTTCCCACCAAGGTGGCACCTATTTATCTACTCGCATTTACATGCTTTCGAACTGCTAGGTAGGCAGGAGCTGGGACAAACGATGGGAGCTCACTCCGTTGCATGGATTCGATTCCACGACTGCTGGTCTTCTGACCTTGCAGCACAGAGGCTTCTGTGGTTTCACCCGCAGTGCCACCATTTTCCCCTACGATAGGTATAGCTGTGTAGTAAGTTTAAACAATAATCTTTTTGGCCACTTGCAATTAAATAGCTTGAGTCTAAGATATCTCAAGGACTGTGTCTCCCTTTATAAGTCTGCCTGGATATCAGGGGAGGCATTTTCTCTCAGTCCTACCGTCTTCACAGGTAGGTTTGGTGGGAATACAGAAGAGGGCTTTCTCTTTTGCTGCTCCCAGACTTTGGAACTCCCTCCCACAGGAGGCCAGGCTGGCCCTGTCTTTGCTGTCCTTCTACAAGCAGACAAAGACCTTATCTTCAGACAGGCTTTTCCATAATGACTGTCTATCTAAGAGAGTTTTTTAAATGGATTGCTGTGCCTTGTTGCTTTGAATACAGTGGTGCCCCGCATGACGATGATAATTCGTTCCGTGAAAATCATCATCTTGTGAAAACCGTTTCCCCATTGGAATGCATTGAAACCCGTTTAATGCATTCCAATGGGGAAAAATAGCCCACAGGGGCGAAGATCGCCCATAGGGCAGCCATTTTGCGAAGCGCCAATCAGCTGTAAAAATGGCTGTCCTGTGAAGCATCGGTCCCAAAAACATAGGGAAGCCATTTTGCGAAGCTGCTGATCAGCTGTAAAAATTGTCATCTTGCAAAAATCGCCCATTGGAATCACTGTTTTGCGAATTGCCATAGCGATCGCAAAATCTCATCGTTATGCGGATTCGTCATTTTGTGAGGTCGTCATCTAGCGAGGTACCACTGTATATTTTTGGTGTTGCTTTTATTTGCCATTTTATCGTGGCATTTGTTTGATTGTTTTTAAATATTTGTGTACTCCTTTTTTAGTTTTTTACTGCCTTGAATACTTTTTAATGAGATAGTTGCGATAAAATGTTTGAAAGAAAGAGAGAAAGAAATCATCCCTAGTGTGAAAAAAATTCATTGCTCAAATTACACTGTCATGCATTTCCTATTATAGCAAATATTTCAAAGCATGTCACTGTGCAAGCAAACCTAATTCTCTCTCTCTCTCGCTCTCTCTGTCTCTTAGTTGTTCTCGGTGACCATTTAGAGGCTGCAGTTATGTTTTGTGCTTTGTAAAGGAAAATTTGGATCTGCTGCAGACATTAAGATAATTGTTCCTCAGCGATTTCAGTAACTGTTTTTCTCCTTCTTCAACAGGAAAACAAGATTACAAGAAAACCAGGCCAATGTTAAAAGCAACACGGTTAAAAGCAGAGGCCAAGAAAACCGCACTAGGCATAAAGGTATATATCTTGCTGATAGCTTACATCAACTTCCTATAGATATTGAGTTTCTTTCCCCCAAAGATGTCCTGTGTGAATATTGATCTTTGAGAGATATTGTTTATGACACTTCTAAACTCTAAGTGGAATGCTAGGCTCTAAAATATTAATGTCAGATTTCTTTTGCTTTAACCCCCAGCCAAACTAGAAACTACCAGCTGTCTTCAGAGGCTGCCTTCTAGGACAGCTTTACTTGGGAGTCAATCCCATTGATTGTTGAGAAATTCATTTATACGTTAAGCTGCATGGATGTGGGAAACAAAGTACTTTAGATTCTCTGCATGTCTGTTGAGAAGCTTGTTTGTTTTGCTGGCAATGAGCTACTGCATGTTTTTAAAATGATTACTATCAGTAACCCATGAATGTTGTATAGAAGCCATTCTCAACCTTTTTTGGGGGCCATGGCCCTTTTAGGAGCTCTTCTGAGGAGCCAGGCTCCTCCATCAATCAAGGAAAGCCTTGGGATGAGTGCAGACAAGGACGGATGAATCTGTGGCTCCTTGCAGATGTGGCAGGGCCCACCAGGATGCCATATGGCCCCTGTTGAGAATGGCTGTTCTATAGCACAGTTCTCCCCATGGCATTCTATAGTGCTAAATGAATATGTGTAGAGGTACGGGGGTCTTGTGACCTATTTAGCCATTTATGTACTCTTTCAGCACTCTTGTGGCCCCTAGCCTCCATACTTTAAAAATATGTTTTTTAAAAAATCCCCTGAGAGGTATGGGGGAAATTTTGCCACATTTTGAGTGGTCAACAGACTCCCTCTTAATATGGTTGTGGCCACTAGAGAGTACTAGAAGCAGTTTCATAGAAGTATAGAGCTGTAGAGGTGGAAACCCATTTTTTAGTTAGCAAAAACTCATTGCAGTTAGAGCAGCAAATCTCAGTGGGGGGGCCATCTGGCTCCCTGGGGGCCCCGGGCACATTTGCAGGTAGCTACAGACTGAAGAATGTGAGAAAGAGATTTTTTAAATTCTGTTCATGTTGTAAAATGTTTGACAAGATGCCCTGGAAGCTGAGAAGAGCTCCTATAAAGGCCATTACCAAAAAAGATTGAAAATAGCTGAGTTACATACATACATACAACAGTTGCAACATACAACAGTTGAAGTCACCTACCCTTCTATTACAACTTTAGTAATTTTTATGCAAAACTGGTGCCCAGGGACTGAATCCAGTTGTTACGCCTAACTGGCACAGATCTATTGAATGAACGCCACTTGTTTCACTTATGTAAGTCAGAGTGATTCAATAGATCTACTCTAGCCAGGATTAACAATTGGGCTTAGCTCCATAACTTAAAAAAATAGAGTGAAATCCAACTGTGAATGAGTGAAGCATCACTGGTTTGACAGAACTTCTCATCCTTTTCCTTCCCACAGTAGCTTACCATCTCTGTACATTTCCAGTTTGCTCCAGAGAGGCCAGCAACTTTCCACAATGAATTTGAGAGTATGAGAAGTGAAGGGAGCATGCAGGTAGAAATATAGGAAAACGCTGACTGGATAGCTCGGTGGTTTAGGTATCTGGCTGTGGAGTCAGACGTTGAGGGTTCAGTTCCCCACTGTGCTTCTTTGACAAGGGCTAGACTTAATGATCTATTGGGTCCCTTCCAGCTTTGCAGTTCTAAGATAATGCTGATGCTGATGTGCTGTTTATAGAAACTTTTTCATGGAAGACAGGGGGGAAACCGGAGACTGCCCTTAGCTGTTGTCTATTTGTGTTTGTTTAATATGTATCCAGGCTACAGTTTTCATTTTGTCTTCAGCATGCAAAACCATTACTTTTTCTCTCAGTGACCCAGCAAGAATACTAGTGAACTTTAAATTATTTTGAAACATCCTGTTTATAAAGACTAAGGAAGGTGTGATTATAATTTAACAAGCAAAAAAAAAATAATAATAACGCAAAGGGCATAGGTAATATATTTTCACACAAACATAAAAACACACCCCTGACCCTTGTTGTAGAATTTGGCTAAATGTATGCCGTTTGTTTAAATTGTTTCCAGTGTTTTGCTGTCAATTTATTTTTGGTTCAAAATAAATTAACATAAAATCAGCTTAGCAACCCATGCTGGGAGAAAGATGCAGATCTGGGAGAAGGAAAAAAAAGATTTTAAAAATGAGCTGTTTCTGTTGAAAAGAATTTTAGTAGTGTTCAAAGAAGAATATTTTCTTCTTTCTGGCAGATGAGAAATCATTTTTTTCCCTCCCCATGTTATAGCTTACAGGAAATGGCAAGGTATTACTACCATGCTGCACAGCTGTTGAGCTGCCAGATGATGTATTTGGTTGTCTTCCAGAATTTGCTATTATAATCATGAAACAGTGGTTTCTTTTCGCTCCCTGATAACTGATCTCGATCAAGCATCACCATGCAATGCAGTCTGTTTTCACAACATAATCTCTTCTGCTAGTGCTGCATGTCAGGCTTTAATGAGAAAAAGTAGATTGCCTTTTTTTGTTGTTTGCTTAAAAGGCAGCTTATTAACCTGTTGAGTCGTATCATTTTCTCCACCCCTTCCTGATTAAATTTTACTTCTTTTGTTGGGAGCCACGTGGGATAGACTTGAGGCTAGCTTAAGCTAGGAACAAAATAGACAGTGCATTATGAGCAACAGTTAAGTTCTCTCCCTAAAATTACAAAAGCTGCAGGTTGAGGACCTTGTAGCACCAGGTTGAAAATGGCTTCAAACAGAACCTCTCGCACAGAAAGCAAAATGTGCTGCTAATATACCATCGCATATTGCTTAAAGCACTCTCTGGGTAGTTTACAATTTAATTTTACAGGACACAGGCTACACATTGCCCACCCACCCCTAGTGAGCTGGGTACTCAATTTACCAACCTTGGAAGGATGGAAAGTTGAGTCAACCTGGAACCGATTACCGGAGCCCAGGATCAAACTCAGGTTATAAGCAGTGACTTAATTGCCGTACTGCAGCTTAACCGCTGTGCCATAAGGCTCCATGGGACTTGACATCAGGGTCAGTTGTGCAGCTGTAAAATTGAAATAACTCAACCAGTTATTAAGCAAGATAATGACTATGTATTATTTTGCATACTAGAACTGCTATGTAAAAGATTAGAGCTTGGCTACACAGTTGAAATGAAACATTAGCTGGATCGGGGGGTTTTGAAATCAATTTAAAGTCATGTCTTTATGTCGGTGTGTGTGTGTCCTCTTGGGACAACTTTCATTCCTGTATCACTGCACCTTTTCCTTGAGAGCTTTCATAGAAACAACAAGTGGGCCAATGAACTGACAGGCAGAGAAAGAAGAGTCTTAACTATTTCACTAAGCCAGACAGTCGATTCCCTTTATGCTCTGTTCCATTTCCTGAGCCTGGTGTCACCAGCATGGCAGCCACATCAGTCGTCTGTCTGTTCCCTAACAAGGGAATATTTACAGTCTCATCCCTATCATTCTTCAGCACATTGGGTTTGCCCATGACATGGATCTTTCCTCCACCACCATCCTCCTTGTCAGGTCGCTATGCTTCTCCCCCTTCCCCCCTTTTTTCACATGTTAGCTCTTCAGGAGCCTCATGACAGTTTTGAATGGGCAATTAGAAGTGCAACTAATTAGTGCAAATGGTTTCCTTCTCATTATTGTTGTTGCAGCTGCTTTTGGGTTTGGAAAGTTGGACTTGTTCTGATCTGATGGAAAGACAGCATCCTTTGAGTCTTCAAGGAAAATAAAATCTTTGCCCTTCTTCCTCTTTTTTGCCTGCATTCATGTCACAATCTCCTGTCTTTTAAGACCTTCATGGATATCCGATTGGAATTCTGATGGGTCTACAGTAATGAATGCATGGAGGCTTTCTGAAAATACAACCTTTTAATATTTGCTTTAAAATTTTTATATGCATTTCAAAATGGCATAGCACTAGAGCAGTGGTTCCCAACCTTGGGTAACCCAGGTGTTGTTGTACTGCAGCTCACAGAAACCCCAGACAGCACAGCTAGTGGTGAAGGCTTTTGACAGTTGCAGTCCAAGAACACCTGGGTTGCCCAAGGTTGGAAATCATTGCACTAGATTGGTGTTACGGATAGAAAAAAAATTAAGATTTTGGACTGCAGTCTGAAGCCTGTGATCCTGGTCTCCAATACTTGACAGACCCCACAGACACAATGTACTCCAAGATGGGCATTCACAAATGCCAACATGATTCATAATTTATTTAAAATAAATAACCCACTATTTTTTTAAAAAACTTGCTTTCCAACTTAAAAAATATGTGTAGTTAGCTATATATCACGTAAGCAGATATTTTTAAATCCATTTCAAGTGTGCTAAACCTGATGCAAAAACAGGAGTATTATGACATGTACCCAAGCCATTAATACCAATAAAACAATTCAGAAATGTAGTTAATTATAATGCATTGTTATTTTTCAAGGATTGAAGACTTTGAACCTCATAGTGCAGTGGTTAAACAGCTGTACTGCAGCCAAAACTGTGCTCATGACCCAGGGTTTAATCTCAGGTAGCTGGCTCAAGATTGACTCAGCCTTCTATCCTTCCGAGGTTGGTAAAAGGAGTACCCAGCTCGCGAGGGGGGGAGGGCAATGCGTAGCCTGCATAATTAACTTGTAAACTGCCCAGAGAGTGCTTGAAGCGCTATGGGGCGGTATATAAGCAGCACACTCTGCTTTTTGCTTTTTACTTTGAGTTGGTTGTCAGACACATGTACATTACTAATTTTGAGGGTATTTTATTACATTTTTGACTGGCTTCTATACATTGACACAAATGAAAAGCATGCTTCCTGAAGCACTGAACTTCTTCACACACAATACCAAAATTTATGCTGGCTCACTGCTACATGCCCTGAGAGTTCACTGCTCCATGTCTACTTTTGAAAAATAAAGGTATTTTTAAACTGGAAGTGGCTTTGAAACCAAGTATAATTTTGAGTTTTGGATGTATTTCAGTCTAAGCCCAGTACTGAG